GCTTTATGAACTACATTTCTGTATTTAATGTACTTACTTTGGACTTGCACATAGAAATGTATATATATATTTATTTGTCTTCACTCATATGTATATATGCAATCTTAACTTCTACGTGCTGCATCAGGGTATATGCAGGAATCCTGAGGTCAAATGTAATACCTTTGAAGACCTTTTTTAAGACCCTTTATACATTTTAAGACCTCATCGTCACTTTGAGTTCTAACCGGTTACCTTGGCGACACACTTTACCTCATATTAACTATATAAAGTATTGATTGTCCTTCCTCCTTATCTTCCAACCATTTGGACGCAGACTTGCATTTCCCCATAACGATGTTGTTTAACAACCGGCGTAAACGGACCTTCACGCTATCAAGCAGTGAGCGTGTGATGTCCTGTTCAGATGACGTCAAATCCAACGGGATGCCATAAATAAACTACACAGAATCACACTACACACCTACGCAATGATTACATTCAGGCAGACTGTAGAATACAACCTCTTTGGACCATTTATATACTTATTGGAAACAAGCTACAAAATGTAATACCTTGGAAAAATGCAGTTTAATACTTTTTAATAGCCTTCATTTTCGCTAAATTGATTTATCAACTTTAATACTTTTTGAGACCCCGCGGAGACCCTGTTTATCTAATTGTACCTTTATTTTAATTCATACTGCACCTTATAATTTATTGTCATTAATCTTGTGTGAACACTTGCATGTCCTCTGGGTTTCATTCTCATTATTGCTGTTGCTGCTCTGACGATTTCCCAAGAGTGATTAATAAAGCGTGATCTTCTCTTTATTCACTTGTAATTTCATTAAAAAGACACACATCCATCATGTCCTCTGTTTATTGCTTCCACACGATTACATAACCGTACCTGTCCCTCGCACATGTCCAGCAGGGCGGCCCGGTCCCGAGCGGCTCGGGCCAGTTTGCTCTGAAACAGTTTGCCGTCAAAGAAGCCCCACGGGCAGCAGTGTTCCCATGGCAACGGCTGGCCGCACACATCATTGATGAACAGCGCCGTGTCAACGCCGGCCATGAAGAGAGAAGCCAGCTGCACGCCGCGGGAATCCACCTTCTCCACCTAAAAGGAAAACACACACATTTAAAATGAGAATACTGTTTAACTGCAGACGAGTGGCCGAACATTTCAAAGTGATAAAAGTTCTGAGAACCTTGAGATCTGGCACTCAGGAGATGTTCTATGTAGCCTGTATAATGAAAATCCCTGAGGCTAGGCTCAAAAGAGGGAATTAACCTCATGCAACTAAAATGTCATCAACTCAAAGAGCTAGATCTTACTTTCAAATAACTTTAGAAAATCTAAAATACATAGCTCTCTTTTTTTCACAATCAGAAGATGGATTTATCAGTAGTTTATGTTTTGACATCACGAAAAATACTAAATACATGAATTACAAACAGAAACCCTTATCAATGATTTTGAGGAGTGGGGTCTCACCTTGAGCTCCTGGAGCTGGTCCGGTTCGTAGAGCTGGCTGGAAACAGCCTGAGCCAGAAAGGCATCTAGCTCGTGTCTCTGGAGGATCCTTCCACCAGGCCACTGCATCATATACCTGAGAGAGAGGCAAGACGAGGCTCTCTTTAGAGCAGGAGCAGAGATACGGGGCACAGATCTCTACAGTCATCACTCCATATGCAGGTGCAAAGCTTTACGATATAAGAATGGAAAGTGTGCCCCATGACATGATGTCATTTTCAATATCACTGCCAACAAGGAAACCAGATAACCCTTACATTTGCTAAAGATAATTGTTGGAATTGTTGCTTTAAAAGTGACTCTAGCTATTGTTGATTATTACATTCTTGTAGGTTGATGAATGGTATGATCATTCAGTCTGAAGTGCGCTGGGAAAGAGCTGAACTAAACTCTTCAGATACACATAGTCAGTGTTTGGCTGTTTAGGTGCTCCTGCCAATCTCACATGGGAATTAGGGCCACTGCACACACACTGTTTAGTAAACTACACTAACCCAGCAGCGTCATACCTGAGCACGCAGCACATGAGCAGCAGATGCTGGGGGACCTGTGCTGGGTTGAGGAGGGCTGGGCAGTCGGAGCGTAGGCAGGCCAGGAAGGCCCTGGTTCTCCTGGAGCGGTCCTCACTGGCTCGACCCAACCACAGCCTCCGCAGGTTGGGGCAGGTCCACTCCCGGAAACACAGGGCGGGGACCAGCTCCGGAGTCAGGGCCGACTTGGCTTTACCGCTGCTCCACTCTTTGACAATCACTGGAGGAACTGTAACGCAGAGGGGAGAGAAGAGAGTTAAAAATGTACGAGGTTTCGATCAAAAGACACAAGAAACAAGAAACTAGTGATGTGACGTTCGCGAACGATCCGATTCTTTTGAACGGCTCTTTGGTACGAATGAAGGGAACCAAGTCCTACTTGGCGAGAGCCGTTCTTTTTATCGTTGGTTCAATGCCTGCCATGAATCCACTCGCCTTTAAAAAGGAACTTGCTTTCCTGAATGCACATTAGCCGTAGATGATGGCATAACGCATGCTGCTTGAGTAGTAGTTTGGCTGAGAGATGTCGCAAGTTATACATTTTCTAAAAGTAGATTTCTGGCAAGACAGTCAATCATTATCCTGGTGATTCTTTTGCAGATAAACCTATTAACCCCGCCCCCTAAAAAAAAAAACCTGCTCTTTTGAACGGCTCTGGGAAAAGAACGGAGCCATAAGATCGGGCTCCCTTCAAAGAGCCGTAATTCAAATAACAACATGATCTGAACAAAGGTTTTGTGCTGGCTTTGGCACAGGCTAGTCTTTTAAGAGCACAATGAATAGGGTGTGTCGCTTTTTGTAAAACAAGATTCAAAGTTGGAATAACCCCAGGGTTTCCCACACATAGACTATACTTGAGCGGGCCGCCCAGGTATATTAACGGCCGCCCAGGTATATTAACGGCCGCCCAGGTATATTTCGCGACCCATTTAGTTTTTTTTTTTATTCGTCCGTGACCACGACGCCATCTGTGATTGATTAACTTGTGGACAATGATCCCTCGCTCTACGCCTCCAGTACCCAGTCCCAGACTGGCCATCGGGAGGACCGGGGGGGTTTCCCGATGGCCTGGCCTGTTAAGTGGTCTGCCTCACACAGGGTGACTGGCTGTCTACATGATGTGGGCTGCCGACATGGCGACTGTCATACAGATCATAAATCAAAGCCCTTGATTGGTCTCTGTGTGTCATTCAAGCTCGGGATAACCTCAGCTCAGGTGAGGTAAAGGACTCTCTGAGTGTTTAGACAGTTAACTTAGTCTAAGTTCTCAGTGGGTCTCAAACGGTTTGGTCACCATTTATGTAAACACATATTTCCATTTGAGAGGGTAGTGATTAGTAAAATATGCATGAATAAAAAATATAAAAGTGAAATAGGTGAAAAAAGGTAAGATACACTTTTACAACTTGTTGAGAGCTAAAACTAGTCTTTGCTGCTGCCTCAAAGAGGAGAAGGGGGGAGAGGGGGAGACGGGTGAGGCTGATTCAGGAGCACGGACACACTCACAACTATAAATGAACCAAAAATAAATAAATAAACAAGTCAGTGTTTTTTTCATATTGGAAATGGGATGTTATTGGTTATAGGGATGGGAATTTGAAAGCAAATGTATATTCGAATATTCGACCCCCCAAAAAATGGTTAACCGAAATGTACATATCCTATATAA